CGATGTCTGGTTTCTATTTACTTAAGAAATGGTCATGTTTGTCCCTTTGCAAACCTACCTGAAAATATTATTAAGAAATAGTAGGTACGCCCGTGGATTTTCGGAGAGGGCATTCTCATAAAAGCACGGTCACAGAAGGGACCGGGGACATTCATAAAAATTTTTCATAGACGTAATACTGCTAAATTTATATTTTGTATTAAAAGTTTAAAAATAAAAAGTAATAACAACTTAGTAAGAATTTAATTATAAAAAAAATAAAGAATAACATTCCCAACAAGTGGTGATACGAGTCAAATAGAGAACTACAACATTTGGTGGCAGCGACTACAAGATTGGTGACGACGGTGGTCCAATCCAGGATCACGACACAGGTTCCTTTTAATTTGTTCTTCAGCATGAGTCATGTATTGGTGGTTCAAAGCTTGTACTCTGTTCATGTTGTTAGTAAGCGTTCCCCATTGCTATTTACGTTTCCCATTCCATGTTTTCGCAATACCTCTGCCCATATTTCTTGCTGTTTGCCGATACAGGCATTAAAGTCTCCTAGCAAGATGATTCGCTTCTGCTTTGGAATTCATTGGAAAGCATTTTGTAGAGCTTGGCAAAATTTATCCTTATCCTCAATTTGAGCGTCTAGGGTGTAGGCACTAATGATGCACTAATGACGTCTAGGGCGTAGGTACTAATGATGTTGATGTAAGTTTTGTCTGATATGGGGTACATAGGATCATAAGATATTCTAACAATAGCCACGGAAGAAGGAGAAAAGAGAATGGTGATATGCTCAGCCTACTTCCCCGACGATGAAGCTCCATGTCCACCTAGCATAATAAGCGACGTAGTTGCATTCTGCTTAGAAAAAGGAGTAAAACTCATCATAGGATGTGATGTTAACGCACACCATACCATGTGAGCAGCACAAATATCAACACTAGAAGTGAGTCTCTGTGGGTTTATCCAATATATAAATAAACCTACGTTTGTCACTAAGGCTCCTAAGGAAGTTTTAGATTTAACTCTCTGCACAAACAAGGTAAGTGAAAACATAACAAATTGGCATATGTCGGATGAACCATTATGTTCGGACCACAGACACATTCGGTTTGATCTTTAATATCTTTAAAGACGGCTTGGGAATGACAATAGTATTTTAGCGAGGTCAACCTCTAGACGTCATTAGTTGGCCTGTACCTCTCTTTATTTTTTAATGGCACTTACTGCCAGATGGCCTTAAGTAGGTTCTAATTTATTTTTATATTGAGTACAATTAATTTAAAATATTGTAGATTAAAATTCCAGAAAAAAATATTTTTCTGGAAATAGATTTGTGTGTCTGAAAACATTCTACAATTAGTGTTAATTTTCGACAAGTTTTATGTCAATTTTTAGTAAATGGTCTCTAGAGATTGATCTCGCCAAAATTATCATCGATTGTCATTCCCGAGTCGTCTTTGACGCCGTTTTTTTTTCAGTCATACGGTAGTTTTGAGTATAGAGTTTATAAAAGATAATAAAACAAAAGTCGTATTTAAAATAAAAATAAAACTACAAAAGAATGCAATTGACAGGACACAAAATTTTACTTTAGTCATGTGATTCTCTATCTACTACTCCAATAACTTATACTTAAGATTTTTATACACTATACGCTGACCCAAAAAGTGTTGCCAGGACGGATGTGTCGTAAAATACACACTGCCACTTCATATATGTCTAGACCGCTAACCTTTAAATTACTCAAATGTAAAAATGCTGGTTAAAATTAACTTATTCTCTTTACCTGTATGTTGGACAAGAATATCTCGAGAGCCATATATATGGTAGGTGTTGAGTATGTACTTTCATGACGATATACATTTTCCTTCACTTAGAAAACTGTAAAACAGGAAATGTAGTATGGCGATTATTTTTTTTTCTAGGCATCGATCAAGATCATTAGCCATAAACCGGCTAAAGTACAAAACATTTACAGTTTTCTCTTTTTGAGCTAAATTTTAATGGATTTCACCACATATCTGGAATCAACTTCTTTCTGCGGGATATTACGGACATTCACAATTCACATATAATGTGGGTTTCTGTCAACTCAACATCAATGTTTACACACATAGGATACTTTTCGTTTTTAGGCAGATATGCATGTGTCACTGCAGTATGTCCAATACGAAAATTCAAACAAAACGAATGGCCAGGAGATAAATGCCCTCTAGAATCATCTGCTGGTCCTAGTGTAAAACATAAGGATGGGGTTGACGGATCCTGTTTAATTGCGCGAAGCTTCGAAGGTTTACTTAAAAATATTCAACAATGATAATTGAAGTTTTTTCTCTTTTTGTAAAATCATGGTTGTAAGTGTTTGAGTAAGTAATTTCGTAGATTTATCATCAGTTTCAAAACTAAATAATTTCGATCATAAAAATTTCTTCTATAACATGTATTTTAATTTATTATTTTTATAAATTAATTGCATTTTTTGGTAAAATGTGATGCATTCAAATGGACATATTATAATAGGTTATTTTTTTTATCTATATGCTAGACTCAGATGCCGAATTCGCCCATTGAGCGAAATAAATACATCCACAAAGTTGCACGAAAGAGTTTTGATTGCATTGGTTTCAACTTCTATGCGGAGGGGGTTAATCTTCTGTTGTTATATTATATAAAAAAAAATTAATCCCATTCGCAAAAAAGTTATATAAAGACTATTTATAACCACGAAGTTGCACGAAAGAGTTTTGATTGCATCATAAATAATAGCATTTAATCATATCGCGAAATGAGTATTTATTTCACTCAATGGGCGAATTCGGCATATGAGTCTAACATATACATATTATTGACTTTTTTATATGCATATTTTACTTGCCTTATATATTTAATTCATATTATATCAGCTGTAAGAACACTTATTCTCTTCCGGATTTAAAGAACAGCACTTGTTTAAGAAACACGAAAATCAGAAGTATTCTAATTATCTGATAAATATAAATAATAGTTTAAAAACTAAAAAAAAAACACGTTTTTGTCTGTGAAAATTCATAGTTATAAATTATTAGTTGCGTCTTGATAAAATATGTTTATTTGGTTGTGACAGTTTGACATCTCCTAATGCCGCAACCGCACATGCGGCATTTGGCGATCTCCGATCGGGGCTTCGCCGATTTCCTATGTGTCTGGATAGGAAAGTCGGAGTTCGGCGACGAGAACGAGCGCTCGTCTCTATGTTGTTGCTATCAGAGCTCGGGGATGCCGATGCCCGCATGTGTGGGGGGAAAGGCGAAGTCCGATCACGAGCGCTCGGTACTTGACGAGCGCTCGAAATTCGCTAAATGCCGCATGTGTGGTTGCGGCATAAGAGCAACAACGATTGAACTTGTTTCCATGGCTAATTAAGTGAAATTGATTTAATAATAATAATAAATTTCTAACTAATCATCCAGTAGACGCATTTACTTCTACACAAAATACGACAGATAAAATTAATACTTGGACAACGAAACAACTACATGGAAAACACAGATATAATATACAACACGAACACATATCAAAAGAACTTTCTTACAAATGGCTAGAAATCGGAAATATTTTCCCGGAGACAGAAGGATTTATCTTGGCAGTGCAGGATCAGGTCATAGCAATGCGCAATTACCTAAAATATATTATAAAAGACCTAACCGTACAGACCGATACATGTAGAAAATGCCACCAATTTAAGGAAACCATCGACCATATAACCAGCGGATGTAAAATTTTAGCAGGTACAGAATATACAGAAAGACATAATATGACAGGCAAAATTATACATCAAACACTCGCAAACACAAATATTCACCAACTACTCTTATAAATACAAATGATTACTTTATTGGGACATAACAATCCGCACTGATAAAACAATTACATGTAATAGACCAGACATCTTTTTCCAAAACAAGAAAGAACAAATCACCTATTTAATAGACATATTTATACCGAATGACTCCAATATTCAGACGAAATTTAATGAAAAAATGAAAAGTACACAGACTCGACTACAGAAATACAAAGACTTTGGAAGTAGAGAAAAGTAGTCGTTACTCCCTTTATCATTTCTACTACCGGGATCACTCCACACACATTCAACACACATCTCAAGCAACTCGGTCTAAACTCCACCAAACACGCGAATATTCAAAAATCTGTCATCCTAAAAACATGTAATATAGTTCGATCATTCCTAAATTCAAGCAATAGATTCTGAAGCGACTCAGCCCGTCACTTCAGAACTAACAACCACTTTGCTGAAACAAGTGAGAAGAAAGACGAAAACAACGGAGGATGAAGAAGGTCGCATTAAGGATGCGATTCTCTACAACTTTTATCCGAAATCTTTTTGTCTAAAGTAGCTTATAATGGAATTACGGAGCATTTTTGAACTAGCCAAAATTTGTTTTTTCCAAAATATCTAGAAAGCCATAAACTCTTTCAAAACCCCGAAAGGCGCATATGTTTGCCCCGAAAGATACATATTTCCTCACAAAACTACAATAATTCTTTCTCCATTTGAGCGACTCTCAAGCTCCAGTAGTTTCCAAGATACCCGTAGAAAACTCCCCCGGAATATAAAACTAATTTACTGTATTATTTTCTTAATCAAAATTTCTGTCTTACTCATATTCACTTTCAACCTGGAAATTTAAAATAATTTAGTAATTAATAAATATACACAGTTTATATTAAATTTTGTTTTAATTTGAGATATATCATTGTAGAACGTCTCTATCCAGTGGTATTTTTTTAAATTTTTAGATATCATATGCTTAAATTAAGTGGTACCTAACAAAATGCAAAAACAATTAAATGAACCTATGTTCAACAAACGAAGAGCAGCCGTACCTTGCGGTTTTCTTTGTAATTTTTTCCATCATTTTATAATTTTTTCTAACTCTTAAAAAGTCACCGCATTATACCTAAAAGAACAACTAAGCCACATAGGAATACCACAGAATACTTACCATAAAATGCAAAAATCAGTTATTCTCGACGCCACCGACATAGTTAGATCTTTTCTGGAACGTTAGCCACACACGAGACCTGCTCTTCAGTGGGTCGTCACGTTGTGTGTATAACCAGGAAACATCTGTAAAAAAATATAATATCAATATACGGCAATATAATCGAAGCTATGAACAACATTGACATATACAGGGTGACAATTTGAAAACGAACAATATTTAATATTGCCTCTACCGATGATAGTATGAAAATTTGGCGAGAAACACGTCAATTTACATATCAAGGATGACAATTTTTGAGGCATTTGTTGTCGTGTTACTTTCAACCCCTTGACCCCCAGGGCACCTACCCCTAAAATTTTAAATGGCAACCCCTATTTCTTTTACCATTTTTGTGTCAAATCAAACCAAATCAAATAAATAATTTCAAGTCCGACTCTGAATTTTTAAATTAAATTTTTCTTTAATCTGATTATATTCATCGCAACACTATTGATCAGCACTAATTCACATTGAATAAGGAAAATCGTGCCAATTGAAAGATTCAAATAAATAATATCCAGGTCAGCAATTTAAAGATATTATTTTTAACTTTTTTATAGTGAATTTGAAATTTCTATGTACGATCTAATAATATCTATCTTATTAATCGTAGTTATTATAAATAAATCAACTTCTACAAACTAGTTTCTAATGCTAATTTCTAATGTTCTTCTCGGTCGAAAGGTTTACCACCCTCCCTAATGCACAAATTTATTTTTTGTTCAATCTTATTTATAGCTCTTTGAACATAACTTCTGTTGAAATGTATTGATTTCACTATTACAAATGACGGCAAGTAATGCCCCCTTAGTTTGCATTTGATTACGATGTTTTGAACATTTGAACATTAAATACGATGTTTTATCCCACGTCATTGTTAAGTTTGAAAGCTTATCAATTGTAATGATGAATAGATTAAATATTAAAAAAAACCGAGTCGGACTAGAAATTAGTTTAAATAAATTATGTTGAAATGTCCGTAACAAAAAAAAATAATTGTGACATATCATTGTACTCAGGGGACCGAGCTCTTTCAAAACTTGAAATAAAAAGTGCAGGTTATTTAAAAAAAATAAGTTGGCCTCTGTATCTCACAAATTATCAGCTAATTTGAAAATGTAAAAATATTACCAAAAAGCCCTAATAAAGTGGCTATGAGAATGTGCAATTAGTTTTCGATTTTCTTTAAAGTAACCCCAGGAAAAAATAAAATTGATTTTCAAAAAAATCCGTTTTTTCCAAAAAACTCAGTAATCCTTGAAATTTTTAAATCTTTTTTGATGGCATCTTGGGGAACATCCTAAAGCGCAACTTTGCCCCAATTTAACCATGTTCGTATCTATTACGGTTACCGAGATACCAATTATCGTACCTTGAATTTGTAGCACCCTGTACAATAGAACGCATGCTGCCATAGAACAGATTATCAGCACCCTGCACTTTACTTTTCAGAATTAATTCTTGTGTTGAGTAAAGGTAGAGAGATAAACTTTACTGAAAAATTCCTCCGAAAAAAAAACAAGAGAGAAACCCCAGAAAAGGTCCAATGGCTCTCAAAATTTAAGCAAAACATATATTTTTTTTAATTTTCAAAGTAAAATAACTTGGTTATTTTGAACTTATTTGGAAAACGGTATAGAGAAAATATGTTTCTTTTATTACATCTACCAGCCCAAAACTACCAAAATAATTGCACTTATTTAAGACTCACCCTGATACATTATATTTATTTTACATAAAAACTTTGTTATTTCAAATACAACACTCCCTATTTTTTTAAATAAATCGAAGCAGATTCAAATACTCTTTCAAACTAGATTAAGATTTCCCATACCTAATACCCTAATACCTATCTAGCTCAGATTTTGAATATAAAGCTATTTTTCAATAAAATGGCAATCAAAATAAAATGACAATCGAGATGCTGATGCCGCCATGGCAATTTTCTAGTGACAGTTGGTAACTATTTTCAAAATCGATACTCGATACTAGTTTATGGACTTTATTATTTATATAGCAGTTTACTTAAATTTGCCTACAATAGTTTGATAAGTAAGTATTCATTATTTTATCAAGAAAAATAAAGCAGTATCTGTTGGCGGAACGAATGGATATGTTACTAGTGATTTTATTTGCCTTTGAAAAAGCATTTGATCAAGTCAAACATACAGCTCTTTCGGCATCTAAAATCGTATAACGTCGACAACTATGACCGCCTTTTTGTAAACTTATACTACAATCAAACTGCTGCTGTTAGAATAGACGAAGTAACTACAAATGACCTTCCAATAAAACGAGGAGTAAGACAGGAGAAGAGTGGTGTGTTTTGTCACCGTTATTATTCAACTTGTTCTCAAAGAACATTTTTCACGAGGCTTTATCCAGCAGGACACAAGGCGTTAAAATTGGAGGCGAGATCATAAATAACGTAAGGTACGCAGACGACACCGCCATTGTCGCAGAAAGCATGGCAGACTTGCAAATGCTGCTAGATAGAGTACATGAAGCTAGTTGTAAATGGGGTATTGATATAAATTTCAAGACGACGAAATAGATGTTTGTTGGTAAAATACAAGTTAATCTAATCCCAATAAAATTCAACGGACACAATATTGAACAAGTACCACATTTTAGATATTTAGGAAGCTGCCTATATAGTGAAAATGTGAAACATGTGACGACGAGATAAAGTCAAGAATTGAATTAAAAAATTAAACATTCAAAAAATGGAATACCACGCTAATAGAAATATGTCAGTGCACACCCGGTTGCGGATACTATGTTGTTATATATTTATGCGGATGCGAAACATGGACGCTAAAGGTCGAAAATATAAATAAAATAGAAGTCTATGAAATGTGGTGATACCGGAGAATCCTTGATGAAGATTTCTTGAACCGAACATGGAGAAGTTCGTGGACAGCTCAATAAAGATCGGGAACTCTAACCACCATCAAGGCCAGAAAGGTTAGCTACTTCGGACACATAATGCGCGGCACCAAATATTATGTTCCTCGTCTGATAACTCAAAAAAAGTCGAAGGTAGAAGATAGGTAGGTCGAAAGAAACTGACATGGCTAAGAAACATACGAAACTGGACCGGTCTGGGGGTGGGGATGCTGTTCCATGCAGCAAAAGATAGAGAACTCTTCAACGAAATAGTCATGGAGATTGCCAACGCCTGAAAACTAAGTTTTTGACACCTTGTTTCCTATCCGAGAGGTTTTACAGTATCATACAGTATTTTACGGTACGGGGAGAGGATATCATTGAACTGAAGTTAGGAAATTTGAAGTTTCAGCATAGCGTTTTAGTGGCAAACATTGACGATGACTCTTCTTCCATCTTGGGCATGGATGTGATTTGTTAACATGGATGATGTTAATTTGTTAACATTTCGTTCGATCACCACAGAAATATCTTAAATATCGGAAATAAAGAGTTCATGTTATCTCCATATTAAGGACCAGGAATAATGGATGTAAGATCATACTGTGGTGATCAAACACCGAGAAGATCGTATTTGGCAAAGTGAAAAATATCGCTGGGTGCTGTGTTGGACGTTGACGTATAGTACAAAATAGCGACAACAAGCAAGATAGATTCTTAGTAGGAAAACCATTTGTTAGCATCGACAAGAATATACCGATCAGAATTACGAATGTTTTCCCAAATTGTGTCAAGATTTGAAAAGGTGACAAGATAGCCATCTGCGGACCGGTAAGACGTGTCACAAAATGTGATGAAGTGTCGTTATCTATCACACAAATGGCATCCAAAGAAACAGTTAAACATCTACAGCAGACATAGGATCACCTAACATCTGAGGAAAAACAGAAGGCTAAGGAGTTCCTGCTTAGGCATGGTAGTATTTTCGAAAAGAACAACAGTGGAAGAACGGATTTTGTGAAGCACCGAATTAATACCGGCCATGCCCAACCTATTCCACAACGTCCTAGAAGGGTGCCCCTTTCCAAACAACAAGAAATGAAGACAATAGTAGATAAGATGTTAGAAGATGGAGTCATCAAAGAATCATCAAGTACATGGTCATCTCCTGTCGTTTTGGTGACGAACAAAGATGTACACGATTCTGCGTGGACTATAGGAAGCTCAAGGACGTCACTAAGAAAGATAGTATTGGTAGTAAGGACCTTTTGAGGAGCATCTGCTAAATTTAGAAGAAGTTTTCAGTCGCATACGCGGAATGCTCACCTATACTTGAGCTCTAAGAAGTGTAGCTTATTCCAGCGACAAGTAGAATTCTTGGGCCATGTAGTCTCAGCAGATGAAATTTACAACGACCAGAAGAAAATCGCTGCAATTAAGGATTGGCCTAAACCTCATGACAGGCATGAACTTAGAAGTTTTCTGGGTTTATGCACATATTACAGAAGGTCTGTCAAGGGATTTGCCAATATACTTAGCTATGCACCCTTACATAGATAGGCTTACAGGTGATTGATGAAGTCGGCTACGAATGGAACAACGATTGTGATGTAGCCTTTGGAAGACTTAAGGCGGCTCTATGTGCAAGTCATATTTTAGCCTACCCGCAACAACAAGGGAGGTATATCCTGGATACAGATACCAGCAACATCGGCATAGGTGCAGTGCTATCACACGTCTAAGATGGCGAAGAACGAGTGATAAAATATTACAGTCGAGTTGTAACCAAAACAGAAATGAATTACTGAGATACCCGGAAGGATCTGCTAGCAATTGTAAAAGCAGTTGCCAAACCAAACCAAACAACAAAGATCAATTTTAATCAGTGTAAATTGGGTGTGTATATAGTGAGAAAATAAATCCGTTAAGTATTTTATCGTGAGTTTAAATTAGAGGACCCACGGAATCCGTAACAGTATATTATACCGTATGATCGAGAAAAAACGGCGTCCAGTTGGCTGGGAAATGACGATCGATGACATTTCCCATATAAATTTACATTTAAAATGACAGCGATCTTCATTTCCCAGCCAACTGGACGCCATTTTTTTTCGATCATACGGTATTAACTATGTTTATATGTAGTTTCTGTAAATATAAAGCCAGCTCTCTTAGAAAACACAATCTCCATTTA